CGAGTGCTCTACCACTTGAGCTACAGCGCCACTTCCGGTTTTTCTGGTGGTTTATTGGAGATAGGAGTCTCACGGTCTCTCCTGCCCGGGCTGGCTTCGAACCGCGATCCTCAGATCTCAGCCTCCTGAGTAGCTAGGATTCCAGGCATGAGCCACCAGCGCCAGGCCTCTGAGCTCTTTTTGTTCAAGGCTAGTACTCTATCACTTGAACCATAGTGCCACTTCGGGTTTTTTGGTGGTTTATTGAAGATAAGAGTCTCACAGACTTTCCTGCCTGGGCTGACTTCAAACTGTGATCCTCAGATCCCAGCCTCCTGATTACAGGTGTGAGCCACCAGTGCCCAGGCTGACTATAGAATATATTATTGCTTAGTTGTTTGTTTGTTTGTTTTGCCAGTCCTGGGGCTTGAACTCAGGGCCTGGGCACTGTCTCTGAGCTTCTTTTGCTCAAGGCTAGCTAGTACTCTACCCCAGCGCCACTTTCAGTGCTTTTTGTTTATGTAGTATTAAGGAATTGAACGTAAGGCTTCACGCACGCTACGAAAGCACTCTACCACTTAGCCACATTCCCAGCCCTTATTGCTTATCATAAATACAGTTCCAAGCCACCTTCAGGGTTAAGCAGCCATTCTATAAATGCTGTTTGGCCAGTATTCATGGCAGCAGATTCTTTGAGCAGCCCTGGGTAGAAGCAGAAGAGTGTATAAAATGATGTAGGTTATAAACACATATGATTATGGTAGAAAAAGATTTCCACATAACATCTTACATTCTTGTAGATATCTTGAATGTTTTGCAGTTAGCATACAGTACTTAAATTTTTATGTACATATGAGGAAGGGAGGGAGAAGAGGTGGGAGGAGAGAAGTCATAGCATTCTAGCACATATCCTCAGGCACTTCTCTGATTAGTTCCTTAGCTTATAGTTCTTAGAAATAGAATTCCTAGAAATTGAATTGCTGCATCTTAAAGTTGTTGTTGTTTTTGCTATGTATTGCAAGATGATTCCTCAGAGTGGTTATGCCCGTTTTCACTATGACCTCCAATTAAATGAATACTAGTTTGTCTTCATCTTCAATACTTGGGTTGCTACTTTCAAAAGTTCCCAACTTAACTGATAAGATAACAATTTATCTTAATTTCTTCTATCCTTATTAGCTGATTTCTAAGTATTTGTAACTTTTATTTGTGATTTTCAATTGGTGCATAATAATTGGAAATACTGGGTTGCGATGTAATATTTATTTCCTTACATGTACACAATACATAATGATCAAATCAGGATGATTACCGTATCAAGAATCTCAAACATTTATCATTCCTTTGTGGTAGGAGCAGCCAACACTTTCCTTTCTAACTATTTTGAAATAGATAATAAACCATTGTCACTCTTTCTAGCTGCATAACCCGAGGACTCATTCCTTCTATCCCACTATACACTTTTACCCAGTGACCTATGCCAGCCTTCTCCCTTATCCTTCCCACACTTTGGACTTCTATGAAATCAAACTGTTTCATTTCCACATATGAATGACTACATGCAGAATATGTCTTCTTGTGCTTGGCTAATTTCACTTAAAACAGTATTCAACAGGCTCAGCCATGTTACTGCAAATGATGGAATTTTATTCTTTTTTTAATGGACAAATACTATTCACACACACACACACACACACACACACACACACACACACTGCACCCATTGGTATACTCTGTATCCATTTGTCCATCAGTGGACACCAACCTGAGTCCACATCTTGACCATTGTCAAGACCAGGGAAATGAGAGCACATATGTCTCTCTAAAATACACTGCCTTCCTTTCCTTTGGATATGTTGTCCAAGACATGGGGCTTCTGGATCATATGGCAGTTTTGTATTTTGAGGAACCCTCATAGTATCTGCACTGATTTCCATTCCAACCAACAAAGTAGGAGAACCCCTTCCTCTACATCCTGACCAGCACTTCCTCGTGATCTTTTTTCTAACAGCTTTTCCTTGCAGGTGGGATGTCATCTTACCATAGCTTCCGCTTGTCGTTCCCCACTGCTGAACAAATACACTGTCACGTACACACTGCCCCTTGGCATGACTTGTTTTGAGAAATGACAATTCAGATAGTTTGTATTTAAAAAACAGTAGTTGAGGTTATCTTTGTTGGTGACTTATTAGTCTTTGAATCTTTTTGTTTTTATGCAGTGTCTCTTTTCCTCTGTACATTTTCTCTTTCTGGTCATTCATTTCTCTTCCTGGCTATTTGTTGGAGTGATTGCATCTTTTTCTTTCATATAAACATTTGAAACTGATTTACATTCTGTTCATATTCTTCCATTACATAGTATTTTACAAATTTGATATAAAATTTTTTGTTGTCTTTAAGTAGTTGTACAACAGGGTTCCAATTCAACATGTCAGTTCATGAGCGCAACACAAGTTGATCAGTGCAATCTTTCCTTCATTCTCTCCATCTCTCTCAATCCCACCCACATTCTCAATTTACCTGGTTCTATTTTCACATAATCATAGATTTTTTTCCCTTGGCCTGGACTTCTTTTAAATTAAACTTGAAAATAAAACAAATGGAGTGTTACATTGTGTATAAGGCACTGTGGATGATGTCATTATGACAAAATGTATAATACAGTAAAATATAAAATTGATGACTTTATGGTTAGATCTTCACTGTTTCTGAAGTAAGGGCTCATGTGATCTCAATTATCCTCAACAGCTCCTACCCCTCACATTGGAGGAGGCAGACCTTATAAAGTGGGGGGTCCCATAGTACTTCACCCTGGCCACTGACGACAGATCCTGAGTAGAACTTAACTCCCACAGCTTCCCACTAGCATTCATTCTCTCTTTTCCTCTTGTCTCTGTCTAACTTACAAGAGAGCAATTGATCTGTTGTCGCCCACTCTTTATTGATGAACACTAGCAGACAAAGGATTTCCTGGCTGCTGGACCAGTCTTTTAACACTAAGCATGAAAGATGTTGCCTTCCAGGTAAACCTGACCCACATTGCAAGAAATAGCCATAGATTTTAACATACTTATTCAGATGTACACCGCTAGCAAATCCTTGAGAGTACATGCGTCCATGTCCTCTTCCACCTAAACATGAGAACTCAGCTAGCCAGTGCTTTATCTCTTTTGTATGCAGCTCGAGAAGGCAGCATTTAAAATGATCAGATGGTCTTGGTGGACTACAAGCTACTCTCAAGAGTAAGGCTCAAGGCTAAGCATCAGTGGTGTAACAGTGAACATGATGTCAATGTGATTTTGGCTGTCTTTCAGGACCGGGCAGCTCAATGTAACATGTACCAGCTCAGTGGACATGGAGCTCTTCCTCCATTACTCCCTCATCCCATCAGTAAGTAAAGTCAGGAGGGGAAGGAAGGGGACTTAGGTTGCCGACCCACCATACCCTCCCCACGAGACCTGACGAGGTCAGTGGAGAGACCCCACTGAGTTTTCTTCTTAAATTTCCTTCTTAAATTCACTCACATTCTTACATTATATACCAAAAACACAGACAGAAGAAAAAAATTTAAGGGCCCGATAGCCATGGATACTGGATTTTAGAGGAGTCACAAAAGGCAATTCTGAGGCAGTAATAACACAGGTGAAGCTGAGGAAATCAATGTTCAGAAAAGTCAGTGTGTGGGAGAGGTGAGCTTTAAACTTATGACTGTCCAGGGCCACAGAGGAAAGCTCAGTGCAGAGCATTGTGGTAGCTCAGAAGTGTGCAACCCTCTGACTGGAGTTTAAGGTGTCACAGATTTAGTCAGGTGCTGGTGGCTCATGCCTGGAATCCTAGCTACTCTGGAGGCTGAGATCTGAGAATCATGGTTTACAGCCAGCCCAGGCATGAAAGTCAGTGAGACTCTTCTCTCCAATGAACCACCAAACAACAACAACAAATAAAAACCCTGAAGTACAGCTATGTCTCAAGTGGTAGAAAGCTAGCCTTGAACAAAAAAGCTCAGGGTCAGGGCCCAGGCCCTGAGTTAAAGCCTCACAACTGTCACAAGAAAAACAACAACAAGGCGTCACAGGCTTTTGGAGTGCTCTGCTTGCTGCCACTTCTCCCTTCTCCCAGTGAGGGCACCAAGGCAGGCTGACAGAGCCCACTGACATCCTCCTCTCTTCTCCTTACAGCTCTTCATCATTTTGGTTTTGTCCTTTCTCCAAAGACAAGAGCGTCATAGGCAAAGAGAGGACACCTCTTTCCTCCTGGGGACCCACTTTGAAATCATCATGTGAGTTGAGTCAGGGTCAGTCCCTGTCATTTGAGGTACCCTGTGGTTGGGGCTGATACCAACTACAAGGTCAAGGAGTACCCAGGAATTCCTCCCTGCTACCACTCCCTCACAAGGCACAAACTCACCCCTACTCCAACCCAAATAAAGTTCAGAGAGATCAGACTCTGTGCCATTGCAACCCTAAGCACCCAGGGCTTCCTGAAACCACTCAAGGAGACTCGGACCCCTGTGCAAAAGGCCTTCTGCTTTGGACTTCAGCTCATCAAGAAACAGGAGGGAGAGAGTGCCCTGTGATGGGAGGCCATGAGCTTCTTGCTGGGATGGCGTCACTAGTCATGTCTCAGGCCCTGCTGGACCAGGGGGCTTCCAGGCCCTTGCTAGCTCGGCCTTCCTAAGTCTCTGAATCCCTTACCACATTTTTCCTTGAGTTTTAATTTTATCCTGCCATGTTTGATCCCCACTATTAGCAGCATTATCCTCATCGCCCTCATTGATGAACATTCATTACACACTGTCTAGGGCCTAGGTCCCGAGCCACATGCCTTGCACAGGCATGCATTAGTTTCATAAACCCTCTTGTCAATGGATCATTCTGGAGCTTGTTAACCTCATGCCATGGATGAGAACATAGAGGCTCCGAGACACTAAATGACCTGACCATGGCCATAGAGCTAACACGTGTCAAGAACTTTAACCCAGACTGGTTTAATGTGATTATGTTCTCTTCCTAATCCACTGC